TTCTTGTACCAATGTCTAGGAACTTGTTTTAAACCATACAAGCTCTTCTTCAACCTGCATACTAGGTTTTTCTTGCCTGCCTCTATGAAGCCTTCTGGCTGCCTCATATAGATTTCTTCCTCCAAATCACCATGAAGGAAAGCTGTCTTTACATCTAACTGCTCAAGATATAGATTTTCTGTAGCTACAATTTTTAACACCAGTATGATTTTAGACAGTTTCACGACTGGAGAGAAAATTTCATTGTAGTCAATACCTTCTTTTTGCTGAAAACCTTTGACAACCAATCTTGCTTTGTAGCGTTTGCTCTCATCGTGCTCTTCTTTGATCCTGTAAATCCACTTGTTATAGAGCGCTTTCTAGCCTGGTGGTAATTCAGCTAATTCCCACGTCTGATTTGACATAAGTGAGTCCATCTCATCTTTCATGGAAGACTCCCACTTGACTGAATCCTCCACCTGTATTGCTTCATCATAGCACTCTGGTTCACCATTTTCAATCAGCAACAAGTAGTGCAAAGAAGGCGAATAACGCTGGGTTGGTTTAGGAATTCTGGAGGAACGTCTCAGTTCTGGTGTGCCTGGTTCTTCTTGAACTGCTTCAGGACTGATTTGAACATCATTTACAGAAATCTCCTCGAACTCAACAAATTCACTTGTTTCAGCTTCGGTATTGGAGATACTTGATTCTATGGTTGCCATGTCTTTGTACATCACATTCTCATTGAAAATGACATCTCTGCTTCTGATGATCTTCCGATTTTCATAGTCCCAAAATCGGTAACCGAACTCATCACCACCATAATCAACAAAGACACATTTGTTAGACTTGGCATCAAGTTTACTTCTTTCAGCAGAATCTATGTGTACATAATAAATAAAACCAAACACTATTAAGTGTGAAAGGTTTATTTCTTTTTTGCTCCAAACTTCCTCTGGTATTTTTCCATCCAAAGGAACTGAGGGCTCACGGTTGATCAGGTAAGCTGCAGTGTTGATAGCTTCAACCCATAGAAATTTGGATAATTCAGCATGTATCCTCATGCTTCTGGCACGTTCATTCAGAGTTCTATTCATATGCTCTGCTACGCCATTCTGCTGCTGTGTCATGGAAACTGTTGTCTCCATCTTGATCCCATTGTTTGCGCAGAAATCTCTGAATATACGATTTCTGTACTCTCCTCCATTGTCAGACCTCAACCACTTGACTTTCAGACCAGTCTCATTTTCCACCATGGCCTTCCATTTTCTGAAGGTATCAAAGACTTTTGATTTCTTCTTCAGAAAATAAACCCATATCTTCCTTGTAGAATCATCGATGAAGGTGACATAATATAATGAGCCTGCAAGAGATGGAACTGGAGATGGTCCTCATACATCAGTATGAACCAACTCTAACTTTTCAGCCTTGGGTGTCTTACCAATCTTTGCAAAGCTGACTTTCTTTTATTTGCCAAAGATGCAATCCTCGCATAGTCTGACATCTACACTCTTTAGATCCGACAGCTTCCCTTTTGACAAAAGTGTATTCATCCCTTTCTCGCTCATATTGCCAAGCCTTTGGTGCCATAGGTTTGATTTTCCATCAGCATCTGCTACTGCAATGATATTCTCTAAATTTGAGGTTACATAGAGAGAACCAGTCTTCTTACCACGAGCAATGACGAGTGCTTCTTTGGTAATCTTTCATTCACAGCCTGAAAAGGTTTTGTTATATCATTCTCCATCAAGCTGTCCTACAGAAATCAGATTTCTTTTGAGGCCAGAAATATATCTCACTCCTTTCAGCGTCCAGGTGGTCTGGTTTGGCAACTTTAGTCGGATGTCTCATTTTCCGACGATCTTCAAGGTTTCATTATCAGCTAGATGAACCTTCCCAAAATCACTACTGACATAGTTCTCCATTTCTCGGCATGGGGTGGAGTTGAAAGATGCCCATGAATCCAAGATCCATGATTCAATCGGACTGTTAACGCTTAGAATCATGGCATCACCTGTCTCCTCTATCACATTTGTAGATTCCTGTGCGCCGGTATTTTTCTTCGGTGCTCGGCAATCTCTTTTAAAGTGACCCTTCTTGCCGCAGTTATAACAGGTAAAATCTTTCTTTCTCGTTCTTGATTTTCCCCTTCTGGATTTTGATCTGCCACGATTTGAATTTATTTCTGAAGTTCTCCCTCTGGACTCCGTGTGCAAGGCTGAGAAGGTTGATGCTTCACCTGATTCTCTCCGTCGAATTTCTTCACTCAATACCATATCTCGAACATCGTCGAATTTTAATTTGTTGTTTCCCGACGAGATGCTGACTGCTGTAACAGTAGCATTCCAACTGTCTGGTAGAGATTATAAGAGAATTAAAGCTCGAACTTCATCATCGAATTCAATTTCCACTGAACTCAACTGGGTTGTGTTTGTGTTGAGTTTATTTAGGTGTTGAGCCATTGATGCCCCTTCCGCAATCCGCAAATTGAATAATCGCCTCATCAAATGAACTTTATTTGAGGTCGATAGCTTCTCGTACATGCTGGAGAGAGCCGCCATAAGACCCGCTGTGGTGTTTTCCTTTGCTATGTTGAAAGCAATATTGTGGGATAACGTCAGTCGGATAACTCCGAGGGCTTGTCTGTCGAGAAGAGGCTTGTCTGTCGAGAAGAACTCAGTCTTCATTCTTCATGCCCTCTGGTTGTTTTCCTGAGAGAGGTTAATATAGATTTTTCTGGTACAGAAAATCTTCAATCTGCATCTTCCAAAAGCCAAAGTCCACACCATCGAACTTTTTAATTTTCACATTCCCTTCGTCTGCAGCCATCGCTCCCTCTCGAATATGGCTTCTTCGGATCGTTTCTGACAATTTGTGCGAACCACCATGTATTATAACACCTTCGTCGACAAACTCGTATCGCCGACAATTTTTTTACTATTCATGAAATTCACTATTCATGTGAATAGTAATAAATAGTAACTTCGCAAAAATTGACAAAATTCACAACCAAAAGCTCTTATTACTAGTTGTTAGGAAATAAAACGAGTAACGAGTTATTTCCCTATAACTAGATTAGTGAGAATGCGAAATAAAAGCGAAAAATAATACCTGAAATTGATAACGAAGTTCAGCCAATTTGCTTACGTCTCCGGACTACTGCATATCTTTTACTAAGAGAGAAAATTTACAGGTGTTTACAAAACACTCACTACTCACAAGAAAACTCTCTAGTATTGGGAGAAAGAAATGATTTGGGATTTTGAGATGATTTTGAAACTAAATGAGCTAGAGTATTTATAGTTGAAGTTTAATGGCTAATCTTGTAAATACCCTAAAGTTCAATGACTCAATTTTATAATTATCCCTATTACAAAATAATTAAAAAAATTAGCAGCCCTCCCCACTTGTTTTTACAGCCGGCTGCTTGAAGAAATTTCAACAAGAGTGTCATCATCAAAACACCACTCTCTATTGTTAATACACAAGGCTTGTATATGGTTAGCTTTCCGACAATTTAGGGCACGATTGTAGAAGAATTTAGTATTACGATCACCTTCCATAAGCCAAGTGCTTTTGGATTTTTGTTGTCAGAGAAGCTCCTCGTGATCGAGAACTTCCTCGAGTTTAGCCCGGATTTTCATCTCTTCGGCTTGGCGGCTATCACTTCCATACTTGTTCATAGGAGCCTAGATATCGGTAAGATGTTTCTTAATCTTCTTTTTTTTCCTGGATAATATGACCGTATATGTCTTTGTTCCATGATTTCAAGTAGTTGGAGATATGAATAATAGCCTGATGAATATCCTTTGTATTCCAGTTGTTACGGAAAAAGGCAGTAAATTGTGGATGCAGCAGGGAGGCATATGATGAGTGGGAGCAAAGGTACGAAGCAATAAGGGTCTATGGTCAGATTTTATACGGGGAAGACCATGAACCATCGAGGCTGGGGCAGTAACATTCTAAGCATCGTTCACCACCATACAATCCAGACGCTTAAAAACCCATCCACGCATCCACATAAATTGAGGTCCTTTGGAAGTTAAGTCCATTAGATTATTGTGATCCATGAAACCTTGGAATAAGTTACAACCACTCAAAACCCACCAACCTTTTCAGTTCTAGAAAGAATCACATTAAGATCTCTAGCTAAAATCTACGAGCTCCACCTTTGTGGACTTGGAGCTTGTCGGCTGTTTAGCATGGATGTCAGGCATGGGGGCGATTCCTTTGCTAGATTCAACAGTCATGTCGGTAAGGATGTTCAAAACTAGGTACTCGGATTTTTTTGTACCAAAATGTTGGTACGTTAAATTTGAATATTCGTAAAATACGGATATTCATATTTTCAGGTCACATTTACCTAATTCATTTTAGAAACAATATTATTATATAACAATATAGAAAAATAAATATTAGAATCAATTTCTCCTTGAATCAACTTTTAAATTTATATCAATCCCTTAAAATGTAAAATAAAAAGACAGGCATGTTACTGTTGTCCGGCAGAATCCTCCTCCTCAATTCCACATCTTTTCTGTCTCTCAGTATTAATTACTATATTTTTAAAAATTGAAATCATTTTTAGCAGAGGTCATAGAAACTTTTAGAGTTTAGACTAATTTGATAGTTCTCTAAAATTGAGTGACTCGACTAGTGATTTTTTCTTTTGGCGACTGAATTGATAATACCTTAAAAATTGAGTAACCATTTGAGTATTTTACCCTTTCTTAGTGATAGAATAGGATAATCTACATCAATATTTTAGCAACAATTAGTTGGTATGATGGATCATTAAATTTATTACGTAAAGTCAAAAATTTAAATTTTGATATTGTGAACGAAATAAACCGAATTAGGAAGATTATCATATAATCAACTTTTCTAGTATCTGATTCAAATTAGTCAATCAATAAATCAGATATTGATGTTAAAAAAATATTTAAACCAAAATATTCAGTGATTTTAATTATTTAAAACAACCAATACTAATATTATAAAAATAGCGGTTAAAGTATACTAAAATTCAAGAACCAAATCTCAAATTTGAGCTTAATGCAGGGACCAAAACAATAATTAGACCTAATATTCCTTGATTAATGAGATATCTCTAGACTCTAATCACTAATCAACTGTAATGTCTCCTCATTGGCAGAATTCCTCAAGCGATCAGAAGCTTTTTCAACCTACAAAAATGGTTAATTTCCAGTAATGAACACATAAAATAAATAAGTTGCCAAAGTAACTCCACTTTTTTTTACCGTAAATTACCTCCATATTCCAGTTTGTTCTTGCAGTGAGGACTATTAGAGTTGCTGTTTGTAGAACAACCCCAATTATCATCCCCCACCATATACCCTAACACAATAGAATCAAATCCAAGGTTAAAAAAATCTGAACCAGTTAAACAAATGGTTTAAATTTTAATTAAGAATATTTAAAAAATAATTATTATAATATAAAAAAAAAGGGTAAGAGAAATGAGAAGGAAGAGATCACTTACTGCCACTCCTAAACTAGTTTTGAATCCAAGAAGGCATCCAATTGGAAGACCAATAAGGTAATATGTTGTAAGGTTGACATAAGCTACAATATGTTGCCATCCACTCCCAATGGCGACTCCTGCCATTTCATATATAGAAATTATGTAGGTTGGGTGTCGATTTCATTAGATTTAGAATATTCGAGATTCAATATGATTATCAGATATCGAGAGTATTCAGTATGACTATCACATATCGAAAGTTTTAGACCAAGTGATCCACCTGAGAGAATTGGTTGAATGCCATTCAAGAAAATGGAGATGGCAAGCAATGGGATCAAACTGGAACCGGCTTTTATAACCTCGGTATCGCTCGAGAAAGCTTTGATCAATCCGGACCGAAATACCAAAACGATTGCAGTGAAGACTACACTCATGGAGATGCTGGTGGCGGTCACTACTATGACTGAAAATCTGGTTAGCTTCGGATGGCCTGCCCCGAGCTCATTACTCACTCGAACACTGTCAAGTCCGATACAACCGAATAAATCATATCAGAAATTTTCATCAAAATCCATCAGAAACAAGTCTATATGTACTGACCTGGCCGCTGCACTAAGGCCTAGAATAAAGTTGATATCCCAGTTCCAGTAATTCATGCTGACAATTAAGGCAAAGGTTTTACCATTAGGCTTTACATATGAAAAATAAGAAAAGAGATGACAATGGAGAGCAGAAATATTTTCAAATCATATTGTTTTTTAGTATATGTATCATATAACTCTATGAAATGACTCAAATTTTACCATATAGTGATGGAGTCTAGGGCGATTTCAGCGTTGGGAAGAAGACCAGATATGAGCACCAGTCCTTGGTTGTACCATATCTCCAAGCTGCAATACCAAAACAGAGTCATATTTGACATTGAGCAAATGATTTTACAGTTTGGGTAACATACCAAAGCATGAGAGCAGAAGAAGCAGTAAGCTTGAAATAAGGCCAAATGCCATTAAAAGCCTTGAAAGACAAACCAGTCCAAGTGTCCTTGCAACAAGGACTTAAACCGATGTAAAGCCCTGTGAAAACGGCGAGAAACCACCATGAGAGACTGAGAGTCAAAGATGCTCCGAGAAGGCCGAATTCGAAGACGTCAATGGCGAGCCACGTAAGAAGAATGTGCAGAAAGAATACCCCAACAGAGATATAGGCCAAGGGGTTGACTATGTTCTGAGCTTGAAGGAATCGCTGCATGGGGCAGCTGAAGGCAAATGCGTAAAGTTGAGGGACTAAACCTCGAGCGAAGACTTGCCCCTGCGAGGCTATGGCTTGGGATTGACCTATTGCTTGAAGGATGGTATAGGAATACCAGTAGATAAATGTGAGGATCAGTGCGGCTCCCAAGTGCAACACCATTGCTCTTTGGCAAATGATCCCCATCGCTGCGTATTTCTTAGCACCGAATGCTTGGCCGCACACCGTTTGCACCGCGCTGGACATGCCCAACTGGTTTTCAATCCCAAACATATCAGTACTGGGGGGTGTGCGGTACAAAACAATTTTTGATTAATCAAAATAGTTAATTATAAACGCACATTTTCTTATTTTAAAGTTTAATTTCAACTTATTAAATGATTTCAATAATTGAAAAAAATATTATTTTTTTAGAAATTTTGAATTCAAGCAGTTGTGTTTCCGAATATTTATAATTATTATCAACGATTAAAAAATTTAAAAAAAATTCTAAATAAATATTATCTTATAATCACTTTATACTATTAAAAAAATTCAAATTATACTTTTTTCCATCTTACTATTAAAATTCTCACCTAATACATTCGGTTGATGTTATAAGAACTATTCATGGTCTAGATTTAAATAATATAATTTTTATATTGCATTTGATCAGCCCCAAATTCAAATTAAATAGTAAAATATATTTTACAATATGTGAGTAATGAGTCGGGCTAACTTAAATTTAAACCTACACATAAAATGTTTCTAAAGTTGAAATGTGGTTTAAATCAATCTATGAACATGTGTAGCTATAATTTACAAGCTTAATAGCACCAATTTAGTTGAGTCTAATGAATTTTTTTGCCCTCATTTTTTTCCAAAAAGTTCATTTTAGTTCTTTAAAGTATTTTTTTCCTCAAATTTTAATCTTTTATCAAATTAAATCAAGGGTAAACTACTCTAGATGCCACTAAAATTTACCAGTAACCTTTTCACTTTTCACTGTTCAAATTTTCCACCAAATACCCAAAATCTCATAAATCTAAGAAAGTCTCCAAACATCTAAAATAATTGTATATTTTTTTTATTAATTTTCATCGATTTTGAGTAGGTTCGTGAAAAACTAATCTTATATGAGGAGTGAAATGAGAAACTTTTGACATCAATTTTTTCGCAAAAGACAATTGGTGAGGGGTGATGATTGGTTGTCTGCGAGACTAAAAATTGCAATGTCAAAAAAATAAAATGTTTAAAAGTTTAGTGAAAAATTGATACATCCCTAAATTTTAATGTCTAAAACGACATCATTTTAGGAACAACTGAACCAAAACGACGTTTTGATGTGACTGGTCACGTCAGTAAATGTTAGTCATGTCATCATCCAATTAGTAACTTAACAATGGAGTGACATAATTGAATGAAAAACTAAAGTTCAGTGCAATAATTGAGAAAATTGAAAGTTCATTGGTATAAATGAGTCAACATGTAAAATTCAATGATATCTGGTGTAATTTACCCTTAAATTAATTAAAAAATAAAATTATTAAATTGACTTCAATTATTATTTTTTTTGTTAAAGCTTAAATCAGTTATTTATCTTGTGCACAAAAAAATAAATATTTAAAAATAATAAAATATTTAGAAATTATAAAAATTGAAAAGAAAAAAAAATTAACTAACGTGAGCTTAACAAGTCTATTATTTTTTGTTGATCGATTTAATTTGATAAAAAAATTGAAACTTTGAAGGTTAAAAGACACAAAAATATTTAAGAATGAAAATGATTTTACATTTTAAAATTCAGGGATCAAAAATATCATTCGACCAATTGAAGAGGAGAGAAACAAGCTAACAATTATAAGAAGAAAACCTATTAAATGATTATAAGAAAGAGTTTGAAACATTAATAGGGATTAATTAATTTTATCTTTGAATCTTAATTATTTTTTTAATTTCTAAATTATATAAAAAGTATGAAAATATTATAATAGTATTAAAAATTATTTAAAAATAACGTTCTAATTATTTTTAAATTGAATTAATATTCAATTGAATTATAATACCAACTCAATCAAAGATTTATAACGAATATAGGTTAAAATTACCGGCCTACTTCTATAACGCATTTTTTAAATAACTTTTGTACATATTTTTATTTATTTCCACGTAAAAGGAAAAAATTGATGTATTTATATGGTATACTTAGAAGTTTTCTTTTATGGATTTCATGAAATTAATTTCAGTAAATGAAATGATATGAGATTCCAAAATTACCATTATCCCATAAGCAAGGCCTTGAATCCCCACACTAGCAATGGAGGCACCAGCCAGCTCCAGTGCACCCAGATGACCGGTGAACATTAAGGTGACGAAACTCAGCATGTAATTAAAGACCGAGACAACTATGGACGCCCCGGACAACGCCCACAAAAGCCTCGACTCCCATCCGACCACCCTAGCCCACCACCTCATTCCTCCTCCGCCACTGTTTTCCAACACACGTTCGATCGCATCCGACGATACATCTGGTATTCGTAACAAAGGCTCGTCCCACTGCCGCTGCTGCTCCTCCATCGAGCCCATGCTATGCTCCGGTTATAGTATATTACACAGGCTAAGCCCTTTTTGGGTCAACTTTGTGTTACTACAGATGCTCTATGTAGCACTATATAATGTGATTGGGTCACATGTTTATCTACCCTTCCTTGATTTTGGCCGAGTAAGAATGACAGATTTTCTTTTTGTGTTATTAAAATATTAATTTGGATAGATCATTCATCTTGTTCATCAAACAAGTAAACTCGTATGTTTTTTATAGTTCTGTTGTACGGTAGTCTAATTTAATATTAGAGAACAACGAATTTAGAACGCACTCAACCTAAAATATTATGATTTTTATTATATTTTCGGTTGCGTCTCAAAGTCATTGTTTTTTAACCTTAAATTAAACTACCACTCCTTAGACTTCCCCGTATCTTTTCTTTTACGATTTCTTTAATGTTTGTTTTATCACCTAACTTTTACAAGTTGTAATTTATTATTGGCGATACAAAAGACAACAGTGCTAGTGTTCCAATAGAAGCTATCGCTGTTGGGTGCTCCAAATTTTAGTGAGACTATTTTATGAGAATTAAAATATAATTTGAAATTATTTAAGTTTGAAGTGATCTAATTCAATAAAATTTAAAATTAAACTTTGAATGATTCAATATTTCCCCCTAAATGGTAAGAATGTGAATTTGAATAATAGAATAGAAATTTCGAAATACCTTAACAGAGCGCCAATGTGAATTTGGCCAGCGAACAGGATCCAAATCCAAATCGCTAATGCCAGTTATCGTACCCATATATCTGATTACAAAAATATAGTTAACAATCAGCCACCTCTATCTGTCAACTATACTACATTCAATTTGAATGATAAATGGTATTTACTTGAGGCAAAATAAAAATCATTGCTGCAGATGAAAGCATCATAAAATTTAAGCAATTCCTGTAACCAAGAAAACATTTAGGAAATTAAGACCCACCGGCGGACATTTGACTCTTCTGTCTCAAACAGCAGTCTAAACCGCATACCTGCAGAAACCCGGGTCTGGTAGACTGCTTTATCATACTTGGCAAGAGGAATCACAAACTCTGAAGGACTAGCCCTGCAATCAAGTCACTGTAAATGAACAAGTCTTGTGTCGTAATGGCATCAGACTTTCTCAATTAGTATTAGGTAGTTGACCTTGGGTTGAAAAATATAGTAAAACGGCTATTGGTTGCAGCTGCAGCAAGAAGACCAATGTGCATGCCATCACTTGATAAAACAGAAGAAGGCATAACAGTAGGACGATTTGTCCTCCGTATACCCAACAACAATTGATTCTTCACATTCCTGGTAGAAGAAAGAAAAAAGAAAAAAAAAAAAAGAGGAAACCAGATGATTATATACCGTAGCAAGCTCATAGATCAGTAGCATGGCATGAAAAGGCAGTAAAGCATTAACAACTATCAACATTATAAATGGTGCAAACTAGAGCTGGCAATGCTGACCCAAACCAATCCTGACCCAACCAATTTGAACAAGGAAAGTCACCCAAAACGACAAGAACTAAAATTAATTTCACTTCAAAACTTAAACCTGAAGCAACTCAAACATAAAATGACCCAACCCACCCAATTTCCACCTCTTCGCACAAGGACAATGCATACCACTGGGCTCATCACTTTAGACAGACACAAACCTCATTAGCGAATTTATATTGATATACCAAAAAATAATTGCATTCATTTCTTTTTCAGCCAAACCTAGCAGGGTGACTTCAGTGGATCAAGTTCCATCAGAGGTTTGATAGCTATTAGTAGGATCCAGCCAATCACAGTGCAAACAACTGAATCACCAAATAAAAACTATTTACCAGATAAAAAGGACTGAGTCACCAGCAACAAGTCTTTTTGCACTAACAAAAACACTCCATACAGTCGTAAGAAGATGCCTCTTTGGCTGGCCTGTGTACGAGAACAAAGACAAACTGATTAGTAGTTGGTTACACACGCTAAAAGTAAACCGTTTCATCAAAAAAAAAGTATCTATCTCCGATTCCATTCAACATTGGATGCCGTTAAGTAAATCATGAAGAGTATTAAAGAACAGATGGTTAATATTCACAATCTCCTCACATTTCTTATGAAAGGAAAAGGACTTGCGGACTTAGGCACATCAAAATTCAAAGCCACAACATGAAGAGTATAAAGACAAATGGACTGAGGTAAATTGCCAGAAATATTTTTATTCTATCAGACAAACACATCCACCACATCTAAGCATACATACCGAAAAGAGAGGAAAATTTGCAAAGGTCATTATATTTCAAAATGAGCTAACACCAAAATGAACCAAAATTTAGTCCAGGAAGAGATGTCTAAGTGAAAGGTGAGAAACAACTAACACTAATTAAACAAAATGATATGCAGACTCTGGAATCAAAACATAGCACACTCCAACAAAGTAAACAACAAGAAAGTATCATCTGTAATATCTTATTAAGAGATTTCCTAGTGCATTAATTTTTCCTTATTATCAGAAATAAGTATGCACATTAACCATACTCAAAGAAAATATCTAAATACATTAACCATACTCTAAAAGAAAATATCTAAATCTCAGTTCAAGAGATTCTTAGCCACAAATTAACAAAAGTATACTGATTCAGAATATAGCAAGGATATTTCCTGGCTCATCAACTAAATTATTCTAAGAGAAGTGTTCTTAGAAACTTTTAGAAACAGAAACATAAAACACCAAGGGTTAAAAAATGTTACAGCGCATCAAAAAGATGAATTAGCTGGATACAAGCTGAAAACAAAAATAAATAAATACAACGACAAATAAACAATGAAACCATGATATTTAGAAAGTTCTTCACAAATGTCTTGGAACACATTAGTGTAAAGTTATTTTATTTTAATCAACCTCGAAATATATTTCTGAATTTCCACTCATTATCATGAAGATCCCTGGCAATCAACTCTTGTGCTGGTGGTTGCTGGGTGTAGTCCTAAAGGTACAATAAATATTTACTTTATGAGAAATTAGTAAAAGAGAAAATGTACAAAATTAATTCAAGTAAAAGCAGAAGCTAGTTAACTGGATTGCTTGTAACCAACTAAAACTCACAAGAGGATGAAAGACTTTCTCAGCAGCACGGGAAGGAACGGAAAATCCTCCATGAGTGCTAGTGTCAATTGCTGTAAGTGTTTTACAAAAATAATTGGTTGGCTGTTTGCTGGGAGCACCCAGTTCTCCAGGCCGTAGGTAGACATCCTTTTGTTCTTGCTACAAGAATGCCTTCAATTCAATAAGTGAAAAATGACAAAATTAGCAAGCATTAAATCAAACATGGTTAAGTTCCCGTACCGGACTCAGAGGCTAAAAGGTCATTTGAGCATTCACTTCATCTGTTTCTACATCTGCCTGAACTTGAAAGAATAAAGGCCTTGATAAGCAACCAACTAAAGTCCCATAAAAAGAAAGTAATCTAAGAAGCATTTAACCTACATGCATGGTCACATTGCGAAGCTGGCAGATAAGCTGAGGGGGTAAGCTTGGATAATGCAGCATATGAGTATCTACTTCCTTGTTGGTCGAAGCAGCAACCTGTAGAGGGAACCATACACAGCAATAGCACACTAAATATCAGGTGCAAAACTTATATTTTGAGGAGCTTCATCTGTTCAACACGCAATTCATGCATTAAACAACCAGACAAGAGAGAATGAATCCAGCAATACTGAAACGGCGGTCCAAGGACGTTATATCACAACATACAAATGGAAAATAAATTTTATACCATCCTTACATAGCATCTTAAAACGCATACCATCATTAATACTTCTGCTTATGTACTACTTTCTAAAGAACATATGGAAGAAATAAAATCAAATTTGAAAGAGAACATAAGAAAAGATGCAGGCATACTTACCTGTTCACTGTGACCTTGGGGAAAGTAAACAACTAGGCTTCCAACAGGCTGAAGAGACACCAGAGGACCCGCACATGCATGCCAAAGTTCTGAATTCAAACATTTCTTCTCCCCTATACAGAAATCTTATATAATTTCGTAAAAAAATAGAGTAAAGTCTGTACATCTCCATACTTAGGAAACAACTAGAAAGAGTTCAAAAAAAAAATAGATACGTTCTTGAGTTTGCTGATTCGACCCTGATGAAGAGAGTCTCATTCTTATAATCTCAAAACAATAAAAAAAAGGATTGCTTTTTTTCTCAAAGGAAAACCAAAAAAGAACTAGCTAAAATAGAAAATGAAGTACATTCAGGATACATATGAAAGCCATAGCCAAAAGCAAAAGAAGAGGGTGGAAACCCAATCCCCACGCCCTTTCAGGGCCGGCTCTGGGCTGGGGCAGGAGGGGCGCCCGCCCAGGCCCATAATATTTTCCATACTGCTTATTAATTTAAAACTATAAGATTTTGCAGTAACAATGCTCCGTTAAATAATTAATTCAGACAAACAAAACTTATTTGGCGCTAAATAAAGAAATAAATAGGAGTCTATTTCTTTTATTTCGCCTTAGACCAAAAAATAAAAAACATAAATAGGGGTTCATTTCTTTTATTTACATAAATAAGAGTTCATTTCTTTTATTTCGCCCCGAGTCAAAAAAATACTTCTAAACCCAAGATAAAATCAACGTCCAAAAACCCAACAACCTTCACTCATAAGGATCTCATGAAGCTCATATTTTCTTTTTTTCACATTAAAGAAAAATAAATAAAAATCCTAACTTTTTACTTCACCATAACTCCGATTTCTTAAACTCTCAGCCCAAAAATGTCCCTTACGTCTAATTACTGAGTCAGGAACGGCACTCAGTTGAGTTATAAATAAAACTAGAAAATGACACTTTTTTTAAAAAAAAATATTTTTTTTGGTCAGGGGGTCGTTGAAGGACTGTATTGCAGCTGGTAAAAGGGGAGAGAACCCAAAAAAAAAGGGTAAAATCCGTAAATCAATTATTAAACTAGTTTCATTTGTAATAAGTTTTGCTTTTATTTTTAAAATGTGGCATGAGATATTAAACTAGTTTCATTTGTAATAAGTTTTTTTCTTAAATGAGTTTGATATTTGTTTGTAGTGTGTTCTAGATAACTCTAATATATAACTGATGTGACCTTCAAGATTTGATTCAACATTTGAGTTCGATCTAAAGGTTTACATTTAGTAGTTTCAAAATATTTATTTTTAAACACTATGACTTAAGGGTGTTTTTCCTGATATATCACCTTTTACATTTATTTTTTCCGATCTAACACCCTTTGCAGTAAGGCCCCCCTACAATGCGCTTTACGCTGATCTGGTGTCACATGTGTAAAGCGCGGCCCCTGGGGCTCGTCTTACGCCACGTAGGGTAATAGCGCGGGGCAGGGGTCGTGTCTTACCTTTCAATTATATATAGCGCGGGGAAGAGGTCGTGCCTTAGCTTTAACTGATACAATTATATAAGGCGTGGTGCAGGTACCGCGCCTTGTATAATTATAGCAATTTTTCTCAGCTATAAATACCCTTCTCCCCCGATAAACTGTTCACATATCCCCTCTCAACTTATAAATTAAAACAATTCCCTCAACGAGTCAATAATTCCGGCAATCTTCTCATATTTGATTTAGAAGTTCGTGCGATTTTTCGTTATAAGGTAATTTTGTTATAATTTTTTATTATACTTATTATTTATTATGATTATTTGAAAAAATATTATACTAATTGTTTTCAATTAATTTTTGTGTTTGTAAAATTGGAAAGAGGGAGCATACGTCGAAATAGTTTTGTGGTGCAGGTAATAAAATAATATTATATTATATTATTTAAGTTATTTACGTTTATGTGTAAAAAATTTATTATGTTATATTTTCGTTCATATATTATTCATTTAATCAAGTTTGTTTCAGTTTTTTTTTCAGATATAATATTGTCGCACTTTTAAACTAAAAGAATGACGCGACTTTCAGCTATTGTTTATTATGATGGTGAAATTCGAGAAGATGAAATCGGCGTTGTTTTCGTATCAAATGAGCGTGTTAAAATATTATTTAAGAGAAACATAACTCTTGAGGAGCAGATAACGAAGATTTCGAGGAAGGTTCATGTTGGAAGTAGTAGAAGAATGTCGTCGTTACAGTACAGATTTCCAACATCATTGTTGTCATTAACTTATACAACGTTCGAACTTTCGAACAATGATGATGTTGAAGTGATGGTTAAATCTCAAAGTAATTATTCAGACGCCGATATTGAGATGTATGCAAATTTTGTTCAAGTGTGTGGTGCTCGGGGTTAGACATTAAGCTCCCACTATGGGCTGGTTGAACAAGTTGATCAAGTTGACAGCCCGACGACAGTAATGTGTAATGATTTTAAAGCCATAATGGGGAGACATTCATCCGTAACTCCTTACGATATGTACCGAGGTGGGTCAACGAACAATCTGTATGGCAGCATCGCGTGCACTATCCTTTTGACACGATGGCTTCAAGCTCTAGGGGGAGGCATTCGACTGCGAGTTTTTTCGATCTCAATGTCGATATGTCTTACAGTTCAAGGGGAAGGCGTGCAAGTAGTAGGTTCTTCGACCTAAATGTGAAGAGTATGGAGGAATCATCAACTCCACCAGAAGAACCGCTTTGTGAGCCTGGTGCGGATGGTGTTGAGACTGGACTATTTATTCACCCAGAATCACCGTAATTCAACTCCGATGATAATGATGTAGATGAAGTTCCAGGAAATGTGGTACAAACTGACCCTCCTGCATAAATGTATGAAGTTGATTATGGTGCAATGTACGGGCCAGAATTTGCAGATATGCCTCATCTCGGTGACTATGGATATTACTTATCAATAAATAATGGTGAGTTATCTTTAGGCATGGAGTTTTCAAGCAAAGAAGAAGCGATGATGGCTATAAAAAATTACAATATCTGTAATTTTGTTCAGTCTAAAGTCGACCGCTCCACGACCGAAAAATATGTATGTTACTGTGCCCGACGCGAAAATTGATGCAATTGGATGGTTCGCATATCGAAGAGGAAGAGAAAAAACAATATATGGGAACTAACAGTATATAACGGTCCTCACACATGTTGTGCTGGAGGGGTCAACCAAAATCATTCCAACTTGGACTCTGAAGTGATATGCCAAGCCATCATTCCCATGGTAAAAGCAAGCTCTCATATAACTGTTACAGTGTTGATTTCAACTATACAATCGTAGTATGGGTACACTGTCTCCTATAAAAAAGCTTGGTTGGCAAAAAAAAATGTCATTGTCAAACTTCATGGCGAATGAGATGCATCTTACAACAAACTTCCAGGTTGATTTAGGCTGGTGTGGACGTTGAATCCTGGGACAATTGTGGACTTTGAAACCTCGTATGCATACCATAATGATGGAGTTCTATGCGATCGATTCTAATTTTACCGGGTTTTTTGGACTTACCCACAGTGCGTTAATACTATCAAATACTGCAAGCCTGTGGTCCAGATTGATGGGACATTCTTGTATGGAAAATACAAGCAAGTTTTATTATTGCCAGTTGTCCAAGATGACAATCGCAACATTCTTTCAATTGCTTTTGCTCTTGTCGAATGAGAAGATACAGATTCTTGGGCTTTTTTCTTTCGAAACTTACGTGCACATGTTATCACAAGAGAAAAAATATGTGTCATTTCAGATCGCGGAGCTGGGATCAAAGCAGCAATGGAGTCTTTGGGTCCAATGTGGAAACCACCCTTTGTCCAACATAGGTATTGTCTCCGACACATTGCTGCGAACTACCATGGAATGTACAAGAAGAATGATAAGCGTCAATTAATTGTGCGCATGAGTAAGTGAAATTGATGTAGTTTGTTTTCTTTCGATCATTTTATTTTTGCAAAGAAAACAAGTTAGTAAGTTATACATTTTTTGATCAGGTTACGAACTACTTCCTCGAACGTTTGAATCAATGCTTCAGGATTTGCGGGCGAAGAATAAGGAAGGATACGATTACATCAGCCTCGTCGAAAAAGAAATGTGGACGAACGCATATGATGGTGGATATCGATATGGACACATGACGACCAACTTGGCTGAGACAATCAATTCAACCTTAAAGGGTGCACGTCACTTACTTGTAACGGCTTTGGTAAAAACTACATATTTTCATTTGTGGTGCTTTTTACAAATCTCGGGGGACAAGCTCAAACCTAGATGCAAGGCGGTCATGTCTATCACCCTAGATTAGTTGCAGATCTACAGAAAAAAAATTACTGCATCAAATGGAATATTTGTATCTGACTTCTCTAGAAGGCATGAAATGTTTCGTGTCACAGAGTTGTCGCGACCTCTTCAAGGGATTGAAGTTGTGTCGTTAAGAGTAAATCTACGGGACAGAACGTGCGACTGCGGGTTTTTTCAAGCTCTGAAGTATCCATGCTCTCATGTGATAGCAGTTTGCTTGCATACGCGTCAATACTATAACCGTTTTGTGGATCCTGTATACCTACTGAAGTTTATAAGGTATACGAATTTGAGTTCCCCCCATAGGTAATGATAAAGACCCTGATGAGGTTAAGGATTGACTTCTGATTATACCAAATATGAGTTTATTGAGAGAGCGTGGTCGTCCAAAATCCAATCGAATTCATTGCGATATGAATATTCGAGAAAGATCTAGACAAGACAGAAGATATGGGCATTGTAGAAACCCAGGACACACTAGAAAAACATGTCCACTTCTGTTGTCATCAAGTAACAATTGATGAGGACATGATGTAGTTGTTTATCAAATAATAATTATTGTACTTTAATTTGCATTTACTTAAAGTTAATGTCATTCGATAACCGCTGATGAACAGTAAAAAACGATACAAGAAAACGAGAATGAACGTTGGCGTTATATGTGATTATAATAAAAGAAAAAATAAATGATAAATTAAAGAAAATTTGAGAACAAAATTATTAAATTTTATAAAAATAATAACAATTTGGTATTTGAACATAATTTTAAATACAACAAACTTACAAAAAGTATTAAATGGTAAATGATAAACAAATAACAATAACTGATATTAAAAGATAATAAACAAAATTAACCAAAATACATTAACAAAACTGTATAACAAATTTAACAAAATAAATTAAAATAAATCCAACCACATTAACAAAAAAAGTAAGTATTAAATGATAAATAATTAAAAAATTACAATAAAAAGTCCAATAAACAACTAAA